AAATGTTGCTTAAATAAAAAGGTCTTAGCCTGGCGCCGAAAAACAAATAACGACGGCGCCAGGCGGACCTCTCTGGGGAGCGCATTCCATAACTTAGGCGCCACCGCTTATATTGTCCAGGCACAGGTGGACAAACCCCTTGGAGAACTAATGCAAGCCAGTACTAGGTTAAATGAACCAATGGTCTGAATTGGTATAAAGCAGCTACCCACATTCCTCTCTTCGTATGATTTCTAGGGAAAAAAAATGCATTGTTTTCTTAAGGTGGCAGCTCTTTTAGCATGGTAAGAGTCCAATTGACTGAATCTGTGTTGTAGCTCATTCTCCAAGCACACAAGAGATGTCCCTTGCTCTACTTGCTGTAGATAACCCAGTATGGGAGAAGCAAACAGTATATAATCCATGCCAGAGAAATGACTGTCATTATAATATAAGCACTATGTATGGAAGGAGGTCCTGAATATTGCGAGGACTTTTTTTGAAGTTCAAACCAAAATGATCAGGAAACCTGGCTGTTTTGTAGGATGCTGCTTGTATCTACATGTCCTTCTGCATGAAACCATATGCAGAAAGAAAGGGTTGTGTCTAATGTGGGGAAGTGATGGTGGTGGTGAGGTAAGGAGCACAGTTCTTCTCCTCTTTTACTAGGGGAATGCTGCACCTGTGAGCATTTGCATAAATACTGCTTTTATCTCTGGATACAAAAAGCATATTAAAAATATGTTTGCCCTGATTAGAAAAGAGATGTGATATTTGCTCCATTCAATACAGTTGTAATTTCAAATTCCTGAGGTCAGACAAATTTATTTGAATTATTTACACTTGCTTTACATGACCAAAGTTGCAATAGCTGGTTATGTAAGTTCATTGTGCAGGGAGAAATGATAAGGCAGAAGCATACATTAACGAACTAAGAACGTCAAAAGAACAGGACTACAATAAGCATGCTAAGCAAGCTATATACCTATTGGAATAATTAGTTCAGTTTTTTTTAGTTTTTTTTTTAGTTTTAAAAATAAAAAATAATTAGTTCAGGAATGATATCTATGAATACCTAAACCTATAAACACAAATAATCAATATAGATAATTGAGCCATGGATAATGAAGACTGTATACTCTCACAGAGTAACCAGAAAGTTGAATAGCCAACCAAGCAACCAGAACAAAACCAATGCAAGAATAGGCCAGCATCTATCTTTCCGGCCAGTTGTTAGCCAATTATTCTTTCCCCATCATTCCCCCAGAAAATATTTCTCTCTGTGTGTTTTTTTTTTAAGTAAAACTTTGTGCACATATGCATTGGGTGCATTTGTGTATTGTGCACCAAAAGGCCAGTTAATCCTGGTGTTTGGACATCATTTCTATCCCTGGTCTACAGCAGTGGCAAGGAGGGGACAGTAATGGTCCTAGATGGAAAAGAAGGTTGATGCAT